GTGTGTGTGTGTGTGTGTGTGTGTGTGTGTGTCATGTTAATCAGACTAATCACCTTATAGGCTTCATTCACTCAATTTTCTAACTCAATAGCTCTCAAATGTAACCCGTTGTAGAATCGTTGCTGTCTCTGTCTGGCATGAATATGCCATTAATTCATAAAAAACAGAGTGATAAATAGCATCAATAGCTCTCAAATGTAACCCGTTGTAGAATCGCTGCTGTCTTTTAATGAATGAATGAAATATTCATGCTGGACATTGCGGAGTGATAAATAGCAGTGGACGCTCGGACCTGGGATTTTACTATAGTGCTATAGGCTACCAGTGTCGCCAACTGCTTTCAATTTAAATTAGCTAAAACTGGTAGCTAAATGTCACTAGATGACATCATAATGGCAAATTCACTGATCTATATAAAGATGAATGTAGATCAGTTGGCAAGATGAGAACTTAGATAAGGTTTGTCCAAGAAGTTGCTATATTTGTCCCTAAACTTTTTTGAAAAAAGTCTCAAAGGGGGTGGGGAAGTCGCTAAATCTGGCTACAAAGAAGCTAAATTGGCAACACTGCAGGCTACATGCTGTGTATAGTGAGAGAGGCGGGCAAAGGCAACCTGATGTAACTGTTCACTTTTTTTTCCTTTTAGCTTCTCCCAACCATCTTTATCTTCACGTCTTTTGCTTGCCATCACGAGCCCACTCTCCTTCGTGTCAGTTTTGGTTTCTTATAAGCAAAATAAGATTGCATTAGCGCCCCATTTTGTCGCCCGTCAACGTCACTTATTCTGACACTTTTTCTTTGATGATGAACCGGCCAGGCCGACTGCCATTCTGGACTTCTCCAGAACGTCCAGATGGCCAGTCCGCCCCTGGCCGCAAACATGAGGTGCGAGTGGGCGCTGATGCGGGAATGGCGCGTCACGTGTGCTTAGCCTACTGCGTTCACCATAAAATGCATTTTTACAATTATATACATGTTCATGTTTAGATTTTTATGTGTATATGTATATGTATTTATTATATTAATATAACGAAAGTTTTTTTTTTTTTGAGCTACTGCAATGGTGCCCCCCTGGGAGTAGGTGCCCGTATAGATCAACTGAACTTTACTGAAGTGGACTGATAATATGAGACAATCAGCAGCCATTGACCTTGAGAAATATTTAATATTTCAAACATTGTAGAATTCCAAACTCTCCAAACTCCAGTGCTGCAAACATGATGATAATGTTTTTGATTAATTTACACGATTGAAATTTGTTTACAGCTAGGATTAGTTTTAAATTACAAATCAGCATCACATATATACAAAGCAAAATTGTTTTGACACAATAAAACACACCCTGCATATATTTACAGCTATTTACAAAAACAACAACAACAAAAACACACAAAATACAGAGCTCACAGTGCAAAACCACTGATATTAACAGTGAATAATGTCATTAAACTGAACTCAGCTTGATCAGTGTAGAAACACATGAGATTCTGATCAAACAGCATAATTCATTATTTTAATTAATTAGACATGCTTTTTGATTAATAAAATTAAATTTAACCATTAGAAAAGGAGTCCAGAAAAATTAAAACGAAAAATAAAAAAAAAAACGGAATCCAGAAAAATTAAAACAAAAAAAATTAAAATGGAAACAAATGGAATTTGGAAAAAAAATAATACGTGATTTGGAAAAAAATTAAACTGATTTCATAGGGCTCTAGTAATGTCATACAATGCCAGTTCAAGGTCAAGGTCAAGGTCAAGTTTATTTATATAGCACCTTAAAAGCAACGAGTGCTGACCAAGGTGCTGCACAACCAAAACATCATCAACAAAATCAACTAACAAAAGCATTAAGACAATATAAAATTTGAAATCATTAAATAATACAATAAGTAATGCAAGACATCACCAAACAAAGAAACAACTTGAAAATACTTTTTTGTTTTGTTTCTGTTTAAGCAAAAGCCTGAGAAAAAATATATGTTTTAAGAGATTATTTAAAGGAAGATAACGTAGGGGATGATCTGATGGATAAAGGCAAAGAGTTCCAGAGTGTAGGACCAAGAACTGAAAAAGCTCTGTTCCCTTTAGATTTTAAACGAGATTTTGGGACAATCAATAACTTCTGAGAAGACGATCTAAGCGTTCTCACAGGAGAATAGAAATGGAGAAGATCTGAAATGTAAATTGGGGCAAGACCATGAAGTGCTTTAAAAACTAAAACCTTAAAATCAACTCTGAATTTAACAGGTA